ATTTTTTTGGCTCATTTGAATAGGTTCGTCATCTTTAATTGACAAAAACAACAACAAATTTCATTTTTAATGAAACTTTTTTATTTTTATAAACATTTTTACAAGGTTTTAGAAAAGATTTACTAAGGAACATATCCGCCGTTACTTGATATAACTCCGAAAATTCGAGGTGTTAAAGAGTTATAAAGATTCTTAAGTAATGGCAAGGAAATTTCGGTCCAAGCCTTTTTAGTTCCTTCAATTTAGGCTTCTTTTGTGTCATACTGTCTGCCCGACCTATACACATTACGAGAAAGAATATCCGAAAACTTTTCAATAATAAATAGGTGAGAAGATTATGGAGGCCACTCCAAAATTTTTACATTCTGGCTTCGCATCCACCCTTTTACAGCCCTGGCGGTATGGATCGGGGCATTATATTTTTGAAATATCCACGGCAAGGGTTCAAAGATATCCGAAATTGTGAAAAAAGCTGTTTCCAGTATAGCATTACAATTATTACAATTCTTACTAGATGAAAGAAATTTAAGCTCACAAGTATTCATAATACGAAATTGCCGCCCACTACATCCCATATCCTCAACAGCTATGCAAACGACTCAGATAGAGCTCTTCCTTTCAAAAATCATAAAAATAATGATTATATCGATCTGGACTTTCTAAATTAAACATTTTTTCATCCGAAAAAACAAGATGTTGATATAGCTTTTTATAACCATGTGTTCGAGTGCAAACTGAAGAGGATTTCTTTTTACGAGTGGCAACTGGAGTGGCTTTTATAAATTTTTTAATATTTCTAAAGCCTTGGCCCTTCTTACAATTCGTTTTACTGTAGCTAGGCTTGTTGTAACACCCACTTTTTCTCTAATTTTTGCTACAGAATCACTTGACTTGGAGGCAGATTTTATGAAATCTCTTCTGTCCGCTTTTGTTTTGACTCTATATGTAGTTCCATTTATGTTTTCTTAATATTCAAACTATTTTCTTATACAATTGCGAATAACATTCTGAATTTGCCCAATTTTTTTTGCCAAATTTCTATGATTTTGGACAGTTTCCAAAAACGCTTGAATTTTGTTGTTGTTGTTGTTGTAACAGCTTAAACTATACAATTTTAATCCGGGGGTTCTGTATTTAGGTCCAAGCCAAGAAATTAGGCTACTTCAATAGGGATAGTCCATAAATCCATTGGGCTAAGTGAAGTAGTGTGGGCTGGACAGTTGAATATGTGGTGGGTGTCATGGGGACCCTGTCCACAAGATGGGCATATATTGGGGACGGCACGGTCTATGCGGGACCAGTAGGCGTTGAGCCTGTTGCTCCATCCCGATCTCAGTTGTGCCAGAGCAACTCTTGTTTTCCGCGGCAGGTTCTTCTCTATTTCTGCTATGGGCGGTGGGCGACCTCCAAGAACGACATTCATGCGGTAACCTGAAACCGCGGTTCTATGAATGTCGTTCAAAACTGCTGTATACGAAGTCCGATCTAAGGGATCCTGAACATAACTTCGTATGCTCTCTTCGTATACACGAAGATCCTTCCTGACATGCCTCGGGGGAGCATCCAACTGTGTGATGTTAAAGTTGGGATGACTCCTCCGGTGACATCCCAGGAGGAACTGTTTAGTCAGCATGACATTATGTTCCTTGACTGGGAGGACCTTCGTTTCCTCATGTAGATGGTGTTCTGAGGTTATTTGCATGCAGCCCGTTACAGTCCTTAGGGCAGCATTTTGGCAGCTATGAATATTTCTCCACTGGGTATCACTCAGCGATGGAGACCACACTGGAGCAGCATAATTGACCACTGACCGGCCAATTGTTTTATAGGTAGCCAACAAGGTTTCTTTGTCCATTCCCCAAGTGCTGCCGGCTAGCGTTTTGAGGACCTTGTTTCTACTTCGCAATTTGTGCGTAATTGCAGTGGCATGAGCTGAGGAAGTAAACAGGCTGTCAAAGGTGACCCCCAAAAATCTTTGGGTGGTTCACAGTCGGAATTTGGTTTCCATCGACTACGACGCCTAGGTTCAAGTTTACCTCCTTCGTCCAGGTGGTGAAAAGTGTAGCTGAAGATTTCGCTGGTGATAGTTTCAGATTACGTCCAGTGAAGAAGTTGTGTATTTCTCCGAGATAACCATTCACTCGATCGCATAGCTCATCAATGTTTTGGCCCGTCGCCATAATGGTACAGTCGTCTGCATAAGATATCACTTCCACACCTTGTGGAGGTGTGGGGAGTTTAGAGAGGTAGAAGTTAAACAACAGGGGAGATAAGACACCGCCCTGTGGTACTCCCTGTTTAACTCTACGGGTTTTGGAACATTTGTCTCTAAACTCAACGAACGACTGACGGCCACTCAGATAATTTACAATCCATCTCTTCAAGTTGTTGGGCATGGTGGACTGCAGGATGTCCTGGAAGAGTATGGCATGGCTGACTGTATCGAAGGCTTTCGATAAATCTAGCGCCACAAGGAGTGTCCTTTCACAAGGCCTCTGCTGGTTTAAGCCTTGTGAGATCTGAGTGGTTATGGCGGTTAATGCTGAGGTGGTGCTGTGCATCTTACGGAATCCATGCTGGTGGCGAGCTACTGTAGGATGGCAGGACAGCTGGGGGAGGAGGAGCGCCTCAAGAGTCTTCGCGACTGGTGACAGGAGGGAAATCGGCCTGTAGGATTGACCCTCTGTCGCGTTCTTCCCTGGTTTCAGTATCGGGATGACTCTACCCTTTTTCCAGGCATTGGGTATTATCAGGCTGCTCATTGACAGGTTAAAGACCATTGTCAAGTACTCGACTCCCCGTTCGCCAAGGTGTTTCAGCATCAGCATGGATATGCCGTCGGGGCCAATCGCCTTAGATGGTTTGGCTGCGTTGATGGCCTCTGCAACTTCAGAAGGGGTGAAAGGTTGTGGAATGTCCGAGACCAACCTGCTGATATCATGATTCAGCTGGACAATACGTGGGTCGTCGGGGTTGATATTTCGGAGGTCATCGCGCTCGTCTGCTAGTCTCGCTGCCTCTGCTGGGAAGTGCGGCCGCACTAAGGATAGTCGACCTGCAGGAATAAAGCGGGCTGCTGCTGCGATGACAGTTTCGCGGAACTTGCTCCCTGCTTGGTGTACGTTGATAGGAGCTGGAAGATCATTGAAGATGCGATCAGTTAATTCTCTGAAGCCGGGCCAGTCTGCTTTCTTTTGGTTTATGTAGAGACGGCGTTCAGAGACGATAAAGTCATTGGGTCGATCCAGACAAACGATTTTGGGTAAGTGGTCTGAGGCTAGAGAAACTACTGCTCTCCAAGTTGCGTAGTTTATCAGACCAGGGCTCGCTATTGTGATGTCTGGCGCAGTTACCCATAATCCGTGTGGGGCATCATCATTTATTGTGCAGAAGGTGGATTCTAATAATGTCCTAATGTCGGGACGGTAGCCTGGTGGACTGGCGGAATGTAGACATTATAGAGCTCTAGGTCGGTTTCCCCCGATCTGACTGCAATACCTTGGACTTAAAGGTATTGGTCCCTAGCGTTGAGATCAAGGGAAAGAGCTCTATAATGCACTGTGTTATGGATTTTAAATGCAATGCCCCCACCGTTGCTTCTGGTGCGGTCTTTTCGGAGAACGTTGTAACCGTTACAACTGTGCAGACTGGAATTACTCGTCAGTTTTGTCTCCTGGACCGCAGCGACCACGATGTTGTTTTGCTGCATAAATCTGGTTATGTCGGGTAATTTACTCTGGAGGCCATTGCAGTTAAACTGCAATATGGATATCACCCCAGGTCTCTGGATCGCAATCGATGGAGTCAGCGGCGAGGGTTGTTGTTGCTGCTGAAGATGTTGTGTTTGCTGCGGTTGTTGTGATTGCGGTGGGGAGGGTGGAGGTGTGGCGTATGATGACGACGATGACGATGTCGATGATGCCAATGAATTTCGTCGCTGTTGTTGGCAGCATGGGGCGACAAAAGTCTCCGACCACTCCCGATGATGATTTAGTCCAGAGCAGTTTCTGAGGTGACACCAGCCCAAACAAGCGTTGCATCGTAATTGGGTGGACATATGGTGCAACCGGTTCTGGCAAACTGTACAGAACCATGGTCCGGGATTTAGTTCGATTCCGGCACGGACCCATAGGATACGGAGCAGCAACGGGAACGGGAGGTGGTCCAAACGAGGAACGGGAGGTGGTCCAAACCAAACCAGGAGTCTATCAGAGACCGAACAGGCCATTTACGATATCATAGGAATGAAAGAGTCCGTAGAAGGAGTAGACGATTCACGTGTTATAGGTTTGCCGGAAAAAGCGCATCAAACCCAAAGTTATAGAAAAACTCCGCAGACAACCGATTCTGAAAATATCGGTATGGAAAATCTTACTGTACCATCCACCAGTTCCAAACCGGCAACACCAAGTGCTAAAGAAGTCATTAATGAAGATCCGACATGCTCCAAATCATCCTTTTTGAAGCAAAAAAGAGTGGACCTGGAAGAAAAGCTTTCCACCGCCGAGCTTATAGCTAAAGAATTAAAGTCACAAGAAACTTTGTGCTCCAAAATCTCTGAAATAGGTGATAATATCCAAAATCACAATAAGTAAATGGAGAACAATATCAAAAGGGTGTACCGGTCACTGGAAAAAATATTAGATATAAAATACAAAAAATTAAAAGAGTTAGAACGACATCACGCAGTGTGCGAACAGATACGCTTAAAAGAAGTAGAAAGTATAATAAAAAAAATAAAAGTTTAATTGAATTTAATGATATGAAACTTGCAATAATGCAGAAAAATACTTCGAGTATATAGATATGTACATACATAAATTTTTTATGTTTAAATATTGAATTTTAGTATTTTTTTACCAGAGATCTCTTATACTTACATTTATAAAATCTTCAAACTTTTAAGAAAAATGTAATTTAAATATGAATAATTTTATTTTGTTAAACAAATCCTTAAATAAAATATAAAATTATTTCTTATAATGAGTTTGCAATGTTGGTACGAATACGTTGAGCATCAGTTAGATAGCTGTTACATTCATTTGAATTGAAAGTGTCCATATCAATTAAATCAGAGTTTGTCAGTTCAGATATATTGCTATTGTATTCGCACTTATAAGCTATGCAAATATTATGCAATGCTACACAAATATTTATTATTTTAATAGCCTTCTTAGGTTCATAATGCAGCTGCCTAGCCCCAAGCAAACACCTCCATCTATTCTTTAGTACTCCATTTGTTCTTTCCATTATGTTTCTACATTTAGAATGTACATCATTGAACTTTTGTTCAACAGAACCAGATATTGGACTCCTATACGGCGTCAGTAGCCAAGGCTCCAAGGGATATCCGCCGTCACCTGTCAAAATATACGTATGTATGAATTCTCACAAAAAATGTTTGGGAATTTTCATAAAACTAACCTAATAACCACTCCCGTTGTTCTTTTTGTAAATAATGTTGCTCCATTTCTATTCTATAATAACTTAAATTCCACATATCGAATTCTCATATTACTATCGCATATCTAATAATAAATGTATAAATATATGTGTATGTTCTTATGTATATAAAAATAAAAACCAATACAAACAAATAAGGGTGACATTTAAGCTGTAGTTTCCCTTGCGGTTATAATATAAATGCTTATTTTCGTTTGGTGCCACAATATTGATGTGAGTTCCATCAATGCATCCCACGACACCAGGTATTCTAAATTTAATGTAGAAATTCCTGGCTATATATCTAGCCTCCTCTTGCAATGGATAAGTAATCCACTGGTCGCAAATATTTTGCTCTAAAATGGTCAAAACTTCTGATAAAATCTCGCTGAAAGTTGACTGTGCTATTCCAACTTCATGATTTCTTCCAACTCCTTTTTGATACCCTCCTTCTGCGAAGAACCTTAAACAAGCACTAGTTAGTTAGTTAGTTAGTTTGAAAGGAGGATATATATACATCAAATCCGAAGAAATACACCTAGGCCTCTATCGGGCCTGTTGTGCGCTCTTTAACCAGTGCCTCAGGTGGGAATCGAACCCACCACCTCCGGTCTACCAGACTAGACCACTAACCACTAACCTACCGGAGGCCACAAGCACTAAGTTTTACGATTGTTGGAACAGCAAATTTTTTTTTTGCTGACGACAAAGATTCGTCTAGGACATTCAGTATATAAGAAAAAGCTGCCTTATTTAATCTGTAATGTTGAATAAATCTTTTGGAAAAATTAATTTCAATAATAAATTTGAATGAGGTTACATACTTACAATGTATCGGGTAACTCCAAGGGGTTGGATGCATCACGCAAACTACGACGAATAGCCCGATGTTGTTTAGTTTCCTCTTCTCTTAATGAAAGAAAAATTGCCATTCTAAACATTTTATTTATATATTTTTTAATTCCGCGTTAAATATTTTTCTTCTTAAATTGATCACTCAGTGTGCATTGATAGCATACTTTATTTTAAACAGCTGTTTCATACGAAATTCGAAGGGAACAAAAATTTCACTTGCAATTCACGATAGCAATTTTTCCGGGGAATTTTTTACAGGGAAATATAAATTTATTGTGAAAAAATTTTCCCCTTGTATTCACGATAGGGGTGATTGTCTATATTCACAGACACTAGAATGTGAATGGATTTTACTCACTGCCAGCAGTAAACTGATTTTATTCTTATTGAAATCAAGTGAGCCAAAAAATATAGTTAAAAAACGTAGTATGTTAGAAAAAAAATTATTAAAAATCCGCCTTTAGGTATTGCGCTAATTTTTGTCTCACTAGTGATACCTAAGACATCATGTTATTATTTAAAATTTTAATATTACTAAATAGTCCATTAGTTTTTGCAAAACATTAATTTGAATGTAAACAAAACAGTGAACCTATTTAAGTGAGCGGGAGTGTACTAACCCCTTTCAAGCAGTATCTAAACGTTGAAAATGTGTTTAAATAGGAAAATGGGTTTTATTAACTTTTTGCAGAGATTGCTACAAATATTTAAATTTTGCATTTTCTTATAAATAAATAGCAATCTGTATAAAATTGTCTTTCTAAAAATATATATAAAAATTTAAAATCGATTGCGAAAGTTTTGAGATATATGCGACCAAAAATTAAATTTTTATATACTTGTAAAAAATGAGCGTGGCAGCAGTCTTATCGTGCTGATTATTATGTGGAGCGTTTGGCCAATTGTTTGCTAACTGTAACTAAAATTATAACTCAATATCACTAAGAATTGATTAATGTCGTTCTAAAAGTGCCAAATGTCTCACTGTGGGGTGGACTAGCTTCCATCATAAAGCGAAACATCAACTATACGTTGACATCACCACCCAGCATTGGGGCAAGTTATCATCCCAGCATTTCCCATCTTCCCATCTTCTGCAAGGAGATAACAGAATAATACTTGGTGATTTCAATGCTCATCACGAGAGTTGGTACTCACAGCTACCAAACGATCCACGCGGTAATTCTATTTCTGACCAGATAGACGAATTCTCTACGAGAATAACTCCCCGCTATTCAAGCACCCCGGACATTTCTATAGTCTGTATGTCGCTTCTTGCCCAGACCACCTGGCAAGCTCAAATAGCTCTAAACTCCGATCACATACCAATCCTGATCACGGTAGAGAAGCCTAGCGACTTTGTGGAACCAGATAAGCGCACGTTCGTAAACTACAACAAAGCCGACTAGCACGGCTTTACGAACTACATAGACGACTCATTACGTCACTTGCCGCCCCCACATGTGTCAGAAGATGTGAAGCAATATTTAGGAAAACTGTCCTTCAGGCGGCAAGGCGCTTTATCCCCGCAGGAAGAATCCCGAATAGTAGACCAAACTTTCCATCTCAGGCAGCACGTTTGGCAGAACAACGCGCTGCAACAAATGGTTTAGATGGTCTCAATTGACTCTAAGGGCCAATCTTTAGGTGAAAGATTAGCGATTAAATTAAAATTAATCCTCGAAAGTTGTCTTTGAGTACTCAATTAGTTAATTTTGTTTGCAAGTTTAAGCGCCCAATGGAGGTGGTTTAAACTTAAGCATGAAATGCAAAAGTTTAAACAGCTGATGCAAAAAAAAATAATACAATTTTTATAAATATAAACATTAAAATGTTCTATTTATTGATTAGTTTAAATTATGCACACCCAAAATACATTTTTTTCGTTTTAAATTTAAGTTTTCATTAATTTTCATATTAAATTTACAATTTTCTTCTTCTTTTTCATAAAACGTGCATTGTTTTGATAACAAACAGTGACATTTTCTGTAGTTTTGTATGGCAACACTACGAAGTTTAATCTTGTACTCAAAAACATCAAAGGAGATTAACATAAGATTAAACTTATGATTAGATTAACTAATCTGATTATTAATTGGCATTTGATTGCCAACTCAAAAACCCGCTCTAAATCGCTATGGTCTACTATTAAATGTCTATCTGGCAACAATAGGAACCAAAACTTCGCTGCTATTGCATTTAACAATTTGTAGCATACATATGCCAAAAAAAAGCGCAACACAATTCTTCAGGCAATTTATCGAACACCCCACGCAGAGCCGGGCCAAAAGAGTTATAGTTCGGAGAACTAAGAATCTCACCCGAGACTCTCAGACATATTCCTTCACCCCCCGTGAAGTCGATAACATAATCTCCAAATCAAAACTATCTAAAGCTCTTGGTCCGGATGGCATCTCTATGTTATTGCTAAAAAACTCGGTGTAGTAGGTCTGGGAGCACAGCTCTTGATTGTCCCCTTAACTATAAAGCTGCAGGGCCGGATGGCATTTTCCCGGCACTTTTGCAGATGGAGGCGGGACTGGTTTCACAGATATTCACTGCATGCTTAAAATTGGCAGTTAAATGGCAAGATGCAAGGGTAATATTTATACCCAAACCAGGGAAACCTAGCTATGCGACACCTAAGTCCTATCGACCGATAAGTTTTACGTCCTTCCTACTTAAAACCTTGGAACGGATAGTCGATAGCATGGTTAAATGCAGTATACCATACAAAGACCTTAAATATAAGCAGCATGCTTATGTAAAGGGACGATCGGTGGAATGCGGCGGTATGCATTGACATTGAAGGCGCTTTCAATAACGTGCACACTGATACCCTTATCCAATCCCTAGACCAGTTTTATGTTGACCGGGTGCTCCGTAACTGGATCAACTACATGCTAAGGAACAGATGGATAAGCTGCGAGATGTACGATATAACTATCAGGAAAAAGGTATTTCGCGGTATACCACAGGGTGGCATTTTGTCACCTTTACTCTGGGTTACCACGATTAATAGCCTCCACCCTAACCGAGAACGGACTTAGACCTGTGTGCTATGCAGACGATGTCGTAATACTTTTAAAGGGAAAGGATCCAAATTACCTGTGTAGAAGAGATGAGGTGGCTCTGAATACGGCCTTGAGCTGGGCTCAACCGAGAGGCCTCAATGTTAACCCGGCAAAAACGGAAATCTGTCTTTTCACAAGAAAGACAAAAATTTCTACGTATACTGAACTTTGCTTCCTGGGCAGGAAGATACCAGTGACAGACAAAGCTAAGTACTTAGGTGTAATCCTCGACCGGAAATTAAAATGGAGGTACCACATAGAGGATAGGATCAACAAGGCACATCGGTGCTGGGCGATATGTAGGAGAACCATAGGCATGAAATGGGGTCTTAGTCCTACTATGTCAAATTGGCTTTATAAAAGTGTAATTAGACCAATTCTAGCTTATGCTTCAATAATCTGGTGGACTGCTTTGGACAAAAAGTGTAATATCTAACTACTACAGGGAGATCAGCGTACATGCTGCTTGGGTATAAGTGGTGCCATGTGTACTACTTCAACCAAGGCTCTGGAAACGTTGCTAGATATTCTACCCATTGAAACATATATAAGATATGAGGCAACGCTTACAGCCGAACGGCTCTTTACTTTAGGCGAACTGGTCAAAAACGGTTATAGGACACGTCATCAATGTATACTGGACACATTGGAAGGTTATACACATTCATCGGACGTGCCTGATCGCATACCAGACACAGAATATGTCGGAAACTTTGAAACGCTAATCCCAGATAGAATTCTTGGTCAAGCGGAACATTGGAGCAAATACCAGTAGGAATCCGTTGCTACACGGATGGCTCTAAATTGGGGGACAAAGTGGGGCTGGGGTTCTATATTGAAGACCCAGAAACAGAAATATACCACCGTTTATCAAATCATAACACAAGCTTCCAGGCAGAAGTACGAGCAATAACGGAATGCGTAAATTGAATTAGAATAAATATGGCGCCCACAGCGCTTAATATATTTACCGACAGCCAGAAGGCAATTAGGGCGATATCAGGTGATAAAATTAAATCTAAGACCGTATTGGATTGTAAGAAAGCTTTAACTGAATACTCTCCCAGAGGTAAGGTTTACATCATATGGGTACCAGCCCACTCGGGAGTAGTCGGCAACGAAAGGGCGAATGTAATAGCTTTAAAGGGAAGGGAGCTCGATGTAGTTAACCTGACAAACGCAAAACCATTCGACGCAACAAAAACTGAATTAAAAATATGGATGAGAGAATCCCATAAGGCCTCTTGGAATAATGAAACGGTGGGTAGAACCACAAAGATTCTATGGGGTGACCCTGATGAGAGCAAGACGAGAAATCTCCTCAAAACGAGCAAGTCTGAGGTTAGTATGATGGTACGTATTCTGAGTGGACACACAGGATTACGTGCACATCTATACAAAATTGGACGTGCGGATTCAGACGAATGTATAGCATGTGGAGGGGACAGTGAAACTCTGGAGCACTTTCTTTACCACTGTCAGGCATTCGTCGAAGTTAGATCCAAGTATCTTGGAAGTGATGTTATTCCGGAAATAACATTCTTAACCAACACTGATTGGAAGATTCTTAGGAATTACGTCCAGGAAACTGAGTTTCTGAACATGGAAAAATAGTACATTCAGTGAACAATTTTTTTTTCATGAATTGGAGGTGTATTTCTTC